AGACAATCAGAACTATAGACTGAAGTAAGATGCAATAGCTAATAAGGATAAGGTTGTAGGTGAGTAGATATCAATTATATACATTAGTTCAAGAAACTTGTTAAAGATGAATGTGATCACTTGTTATGCACTTGTTAAAAAAACTGATTTGATGCTCAAATCATATAATTATATGGGGTTTGAGCAAGATTCATATAATTTGTAAACATACAAAGTCAATATGGCTATTTCACCAAAACATGCTATTCAAATATCATGTGTCAACCAAACTAGATGAATGAACCCCTATTTTACATTACATAATTTTTGAAGAACCTACAATAATGTCTTACATGCCTTTTAAATTAAATATGCATCATTAAATGTTGACTTAATATTTTTCACTTTAGCATGTTATATTAAATTCACGATTATTGCATTTTCCAAATCATGTTTAGGAAATCAATCATAAATATGAGAGATGACATTATTATGCAAATACTGTCAAACAGTTATATGAAAATTGGTTCTTTATAGAATTCACAAGTTTAATGCATAAGAATAAATATACATGCTTTAATCTTTGTCTTTTTAACAATTATAAATATTTAAGCTAAATGTAATTAATATTTTTGTGGCAATAATATGATAAAAATAGTGAAGCATTTTGCAACTTTAGTTGCAACTTAGCATAAGCAATCCTCATTATTTTGTTTCTCATCTATTGCTCGCTCTTCTATAAAGTTTAATGAGAGAATTAAACAAGTATCAAAACCAATGTGTTTGAGAGAGACTATTTATTCAAAATTAAATTTGAATTGGCAGTTCATCCACATGAATAAATATTAATATGAATAAATAATTAATGTTAATGAATCCTTTTAACATTAAGGGGTTCCCTAACCACTGACAAAATAATAAATAAATGGTGATAAATTAGATTCCCTCCTTTTGAAGGGTACCATCAAAGACGAATAAAGATTTAGATGTCTATCTAATCCTTCTAATATGATATTGTTTAAGGGGCACTATGTCATAAGTATTTTTTCCTTAACTCGCCTAATTCCTTAAGCAAAAATATATGTGGATTCCTAACAATCGTTTTCGTAATACAATATAGGTTTCATCTAAAATAACTTTTTCATTAATCCTTCAACATTCTACATTAGAAATGTTAATTTAGAGAAAATTTAATCAAGATTACAATTAAAAAAATTAAATTTTAATATGTTCTCTTTTCTTTTTAACACTAAGAGTGAAAGTTAAATGTGCTCAAAGGCATAATATATTAGCTAAAATAAAATAAAAAAATTCTAAAATAATAAGTTTGAGCACCCATCATATCCTAAGAAAAAGAGTGCAATGATAAATCATTTCAATAAAAAAAAATAAACAAATAGTTCATAATTTTATATTTAATCATATGCTTTAAATATTTTATTTCATTATTTTCATGCTCTTCATGTGGTCTATCTGAATATAAACAAGAAAAGTATATACATACATACCACTCAATTCATTAGATATTTAAAGCATACACTTTCTTTATATATATATATATATATATATGTATATATCAATTATGAAATAATTCAACATGTGATCAAGCTTCATAAAAAAATAATGGAGCCTGCCCTACCACGATCTCCTCGTGAATCTCATCACAAATATTTCTACTATCAGCCATAAACGCCCAACTATGCGCTATAAATGAATACAAGGCAGTGGTGGCCACCATGCATGCAATTTAAAATTGCATTTTTAGAAAAAAAAATTTTCATTTTACTCCTTACATTACAAAAAAAGTACATTTTTTTTTATAATTCAGGAACACAATATAAAATATAATAGGCGCATCCAAGCATGCTTCTCCAACCAAAATTATATATATTATCTCAAATTTAAAATACTCCCCCACCATTTGATCAATGCAAATTTTATAATACTGAGAAATATACATATCTTACAAGTGTAATTTAAGTTTATAAATCACTTAAAAATGCGTAACTTACATAGCATAATACAAATCAATCAATCGCACAATACAAATCAATTCATCAGCAACTATTGCAGGTACTTACAAAGCACAATAACGAAAGATAGGAAGGAGGCGGAAGAGTAGTACGACCAGGCCGAGAGAGAAGGGTGAGAGGGAGAGAAGCGCGCGCGAGAGAGATGACCGAGTGAGATGAGCGAGAAGGAGAGATGAGGGAGATCGGGAGTTTGGGCAAACGAGGCTCGTAGATGCCCGAGGGCAAAGTGTCAAAACAGACAAATGGAACTCGGGTCGTGGGGTTCGACCCGCGGCCACGTATAATATAAAAAAAAATAGCTCTTTTTTCAGATAAGCATTTTCCAAACGCCCAAGACGGCGTTTTTAAAAAACACCACAACTGATAAGCTGCCCCAAACATAAACTTAATTATGTAATATGTGGAAACATTATTTAAAAAGTAATGAATATTTTTTTTTCCTAAGATTATTGTCCAAATAATAATAATATTAAATCTAGTTAGTTATTCTTGTTTCATCATAATTTTTTATCAAATGATATTTACATTAATAGCCATTAAAGAAAAATATAATTTTTAATCTTAGTATGTGTTAAACTTAAATATAAAATTATATATATA